GTTAATATTTTAATTATTTTTTAGAGTCGAAACTGATAAGTACTTTTATTAAATTTATGGTGAAAAATGAAAATTAATCCTTAATTTATCAATTATTTAATTAAATCCATTTACTTAATACTAACATTAAAATTAATATTAATTTTTTATTTTCATATGTATTTATAACAAAAAATGAAAATTAATCATTAATTTATCAATTATTTAATTAAATCTATTTACTTAATACTAACACTAAAATTAATATTAATTTTTTATTTTCATATGTATTTATAACAAAAAAAAATATGATTAATTTATATATTTAGTACACAAAATAAATAAATAAATAACATTAAAACAAAGCATACCCTTAGAAAAAAAAAGAAGGGGAACAGTCCATTCCGGTCCAGTAGTATTGGATTCTAGGTTAGGACTGCTTACCTCCGTAGGTTGCACCGTTCGAGCCTCACGGAACCCTTTTTCCCCCTCCCGTAATTAATCTTGTAAATAATTACAAATTGTTAAAAAAAAAAAAAAAAAAAGAGAAGGTGGTAATTACCACGTACTGCCTGGCCGTGGGCTGGTTTACATGTGGCCGTGGACTGATTTAGATGCCAAAACTATGAGCAAAACCTTCAGTTGGCGTGAGAAAGATTTTTGTGTCAGCAAAATTGTTGGATACTGGGGCAATGGATAAGGGAAATTTTTTCAAAATAGTTTGCAGGAGTTTAACTCCAACTAATTAAATCTAAGTATCATGACCCACGAATGAATCATTATATTCAAAAGTTGGATTCAATTATCAGGTTATGGTCTAATTTATTGTTAAAGCACGTGAACAGTGGATCACTTATGCTTTTTCTGACAAAAATCCAGAAAACCAAACTGTTATTTACCTTCATATCACGTAGTTTATATATGGTTGTCATCCAGCCACGGCAAGGGATCAGTTATCAATCAATTTATTAACTCCATATTTATTATAATTAAATTGTGGATAACAAAATTAACTTTTTTCTTTTATTGTAACAAAATTAATTGGTGTTGGGTCAATTTTTTAACCTACATAGAGAGCCTTTACTTCTGTAACTATATATTTATTGTTATCACCAAAATTTTGAAGTTAGATTTTAAAATTTTACACTAAATAGACATTTTAGCCTTTGTTTAGTATATGACTATGATTTTTAGTTTTCAATTTTTATTTTAATAAATTTTGTAATTGTTAAAAATAAAAATAAAAATAAAAATAAAAATAATAAATTATTTAAACTTAATTTTAACATCAATCAACAACTAAAAATAAAAACTTATTAAATAATAATAAAACTATTTTTTTATTTTTTAATAATCATCCTAGTATATTAAAAATATACCTGAAGTTAAATAAGTTTTTTTTTAGATCTATAAAATTTATAAAAACTAAAATTGATCGTGAAAACCAAAGCTATCCTAAAAAAATTTTTTAAAAAAAAGGAGAGAAAAAAAAAAAGGACTACAACTATACCATATAAAACTTATAATTTCTTTAGTTCAACCAATAAAGCTATCGTATTGTAGGAAAATGCCAGTTTTTTGAATTTAGGTCGTGTCTCACTTGTAATTTTTAGATCTATAAAATTTATAAAAACTAAAATTGATCGTGAAAAGCAAAGCTATCCTAAAAAAATTTTTTAAAAAAAAAGAGAGAAAAAAAAAAAGGACTACAACTATACCATATAAAACTTATAATTTCTTTAGTTCAACCAAAAAAGCTATCGTATTGTAGGAAAATGCCAGTTTTTTGAATGTAGGTCGTGTCTCACTTGTAATTTTTAGATACAACAATTGATATCTTAAAAATAATTTTTTGATATTAATTATATAATAAGAGGTAATTTTTTTTTTTATTTTTTATCTCAGTTTACTTATATATCATATAATTCAAACTTAATACTTTTTATTTTTAATAAAAAAAATTATAATTGAATTAATTAAATCATTAATAATATCTTAAGTATATTTGAATTAACAATTGAAAAAAATGAATAGTTAATAATTAATAATTATTACTATTTATAATTTAAAATATATAAT